CTCTACACACGTGTGTAAGGTTTTCTTATCACTTGTGCCACCTGTTACAATTTCCATTTCTCACGCATCGTATTGTGATGTCATTCACCAGACTTTTCGACGAAGCCTTGCATAGTTTCGTGTTGTTCCCCCCCCCCCCTTTTATAATGTGAAGCAGAGTAGACGTTCTTCAGTAATTTTCATCAGTTAATGACTTTTGTAATGAACTGTTATTGAAGTGTAAATGATTGTCACTTTCACAAGTGTCGAACGCTAATCGCGGAGTGGGATGTACATTTGTTTCCGGCACTAGCATGACAGTGTGTTATATGTTCTATTACAGAATGATGTACACATCCTTAAAGAAGGTGATAAAGTTGGTGCCAGTGATGCCACCCTGCTCAACATGTTGAACATCTCGCCCTTCTCATATGGCTTGCTAGTCCAAATGGTCTATGACTCGGGAACAATATTTGAGCCCGCCATTTTAGATATCAAACCAGAGGATCTGCGGGTCAAGTTCGCAGAGGTAACAGTCTTTTGTTTCTTTGACTATGATTTCAGCACTGTCTTAATGTGTTCGTTCAGATTTGTGTGTTTTGTTCTGTTCCCAGGCGAAGGTAATTGAGATTAACGAACCTTGACAGTTTGCAAATTCGTGTAAAATGAAGTGTGAACAGTAATATTTTGGCTGCTGTTTATTCTTACCTAATATTCTTAAATTTGGCAGAATTTGACAAGAAGAAAGTCTGTATTTGGGAAATAAATTGTGTTGAGTTGAATCTGATTGTTACGTGGCAAAATTAGTTTGAAAAAAATTCTTGGTTATTTACAGTGAAGTTGATTAATGAGAATATGCATTCGCATGAAAGAGCTAAGATCTCTTAATCTGTGTACGATTTTCTTGTTTTACACTTATCAGTAAGATTTTTAGTGGTTATCAACTTGCAAACACAGGAATTTTGTATTTACTGATTCTTCTGTGTACATTTCTTAAATACTTAAATCGTGATGTGGTGAGTCACCTGTTGTAAGTCGTATTGTTTTGTCTTGATTCAGGGCCTGCTTGTTACCTGCAAACCATTTACTTATGTTTGTCATATACTTCCTGAGCCTAAGATTACTATTGATCACAGATTATGGTTTTATGTGGTAAATTAAAGTTAAGCAGTGTTTGAACCTTGCATCATTCATGACTCAGTTGGAGTATAAGGCGTTGTGCCTCGTGCGTACAGTTTTCCTGTTGTGATGACAAAGTGTTTCCTAAAGCTGCTGAGTAACCCGCTGGAGCCAGAAATGGCTCAACCCACCATCGTGGCAGTGGCTTTGTTGAAATGTGCACGCTTGTGCAGTCTGAACAGAAACTGTATAAAAGGGGAGGGTCAGTTAAGTATTGCAATAACATGAATAGAAGCCATTTGCACTGAAAGAAAACTACATTTTCCTACGAACATGATTGTTATTTAAAGTTGAAAATGCAATCTTTTAACCATAGACTGATGCTAGTACAATGACTGATTGCTTTATGCATTTTAACAATGTAAGTGTTACAATTTTTTGCAGGATTTATTAGCTATTCTTTAAAATGATTTTGTCCTGTTCTCTGGCAATGAGATTTGAATATACGCTTTTCTCCGCATTTACTGCTGGAGTTCCTAGCTATTTTTTGGTATTCCTTCTGTGTTTACGATATGTTTTCTTTCATTCTGTGGGATGTGTGGACCCGGTCTCATAGGTACAAGAATGTTCTAGTGTGAAGTTCCTGTAACCTGATTACAGGGTGTGGCACGTCTAGCTGCAGTATGCCTGTCCATCAGTTACCCAACCTTGGCTTCTGCTCCACACAGTGTAGTCAATGGCTTTAAGAACCTGCTGGCCATTGCTGCAGCTACAGATGTTGAGTTCAAAGAGGCACAGACTATTAAGGAATTCCTCAAGGTGTGTGTGCGATAATAAATATATATAAAATTATTTGTTTTTTCTGGTGCACTGATGATAAACGTTTTGTCGCCGTACAGTCCCTCCACTTTAATAGTTTAAAATGATGTGGCAACATTGGCATGTGGCTTTCTGCTCCTTGATTTTACTTTTGTTTTGCTACAAATCCCTGTTTTCCATTCCAGGCGTAATTTAAGAACTCAGTGGTCATCCAGGATGTAACAAATGAAATGTTTGTTTCCGGTAGTGTATATGAACATTATTGGTTCATGGGTATGGTTATTATGTTGTCTGTGAATGTTATTGATATGCTGTGTATAGGTTTGGTTTAATTCTTGTATATTGATTTATGTTATAATAATTTATAAAGGGTATAGTGTTAGGCAAGGTCCAGCAAGACACCTGAAGTTGTTGGAAATGTTCTACAAGGTTACGTACCTTGCTGATCTGTACATACACAACAGCAAGTCGTGATACTGCCTCACTCCAGGTTCAAAGCTCTTGTTTAGTCCATGTCAGATGATACATTGGCTCCAGTAAGAAGTCAGCTATTGCTACAACCTTAAGTCAGCTGAGGTTAGGATGCGAGAAATGGCCAGACGGCTGTAAACTGCTCGTTGTGATGATGATATTTGCTCATATAATAATCTCAGTTTTAAGCCTAGCTGATCGTCCTACCAGTGACGACCAAACCCGAGACTGCTTGACGAACCCGTCACTCTTCCAAATCCCAGAACACAACACGGGAGCCTTCAGAATTTGTTACAGATGAAACGTGTTTGTTACAGGATCCATCCAAATTTGTGGCGGCTGCTACAGTGGCGCCAGTGGCCGCTGCAGCTGCTGCTCCAGTGGAGTCCAAAAAGGAAGAGAAGAAAGAAGACACTGAAAGCGAAGATGATGACATGGGTTTCGGTCTATTTGACTAAACTTTCACTACAACTTGCTTCCAATTTACTGTGTAACTCAGAAGTTAAAAGGTCTTTAATGTAGGTCTGGCAGTTTTCGAGTATGTTTGATCTTGTCGCAGTATTATTTGATAAACTTCAGCATTTTCATCTGCGAATCACAAGTGGTACATCGATAGTTTTGTGGATATGTTTATCCATATGAATCGTGTCAATTTTGTGCGGTTTATAAGGCATGTTGTGCCGTGTTACATATTTGTGTAGCTATAATTTTAGATGTTTGGCCGTAATCAATTCATAGCTGCTGTTGTTGCAGTACTGTTTAGAAGGTAATGCTAATGTGACATGTGAAGGCAGTTTGATTTTGTGGAAAAAATTATTTCCTATGCATTCTGTTACATTTTGTGCTGATCAGCTATCATACAAAGTTAATTTTTATTAATAGATTTGGAATCTAAATCGCATTACTTTCAGTACAAACCACCTAAATAACGATCATTACTACCGCTGCTACGTGTTCATTATTACCATGCAGTTGTGACCTACTGTAACATGGCAATTAATTTGTGAGTTCCTGCTGTTGCTAATAGTAACTAACTAGATGGCTTACCGAACCCGAAGGTTCATCACCGAATTAACCAAAGCCTTCCACCGGACCCTGTCCTGGGCCAGCAAAATCCAGTCTCCTTCAACTCCTATCTCCCATAGAAGGATCATTGAAGACTTTTAATTTTGAGTTGCATAGTGTTGTGAGCAGTTGTTTTGCAAAGTGATACCTGTGTGTGTTGTTTGAACCAGTTTGTCATAAATACACTTGAAGAATGATGTGGTTGAATTATTTGACCCCAATTCCATCCCTTTTCATGTTAAAACAGCAGTAGACTTTCATTAAAAAACAAAATGTATAATTTTATGGACCATGATGTGACCAGGTTTGTTTGGGAGCAGTCAGATGAGTTTGTAGTCATAAATGATAGGTAAGGCCTCTGTAAACCCTTTCCATCTTGGGTTGAGAAGAAATTTCACTGCCATTGCACAAGTGATTATTGAGTCCTTGGAACAGAATGACTTGCTACTAATGTTATGAAGGGGGAGGGGGTAAAGTTGGAATTACTTTGGAGGTATATGAGGCCGAGTTGCATTGTGAATTTATTAGTCTTGTAACTGTAGTCGGTGGTTTGCGAAGGAACGCACTTTTAATTACTATCTGCAAGTCATTACGTGAGTTGTATGTGGTGGAGGGAAATTACGCAATGCAACGCTGATTTGACTACGGTAGTTATAAATGCGCAGTGCGATAGGCACTTTGAAATATTTTTCGATAAAATAATGTGTAGTTGTTGAAAGATCTGTGATTTGTAAATATCTCGTCGTCTGAGTAGATAACGCGGTACATATTATTGAAGTGACTGATTATAAAGTGAGAGGAGGATTAGTGTTATCATTAAAGCGAGTGTCATTGAGATATATTGTGTAATATTTAGAAGGAGAGAAGGGATAGTTTAAGCGGTTGTTTCGTCGGCGAGTACATTTTGAATAAATTTTATAGCCATAAATAAGACATGGGTTTACTGACAGAAGGTAGTCCACTAAGTTGGGAAGAAACCAAGGATTTAGCAGACCATGTAAGGCAACATGGTGTAGTGCAGTTTATTAATTTGTATAAACGTCTTCGTGATCGTCAAGGGGATGTTCTTAAGTGGGGTGACGAGGTAAGAAGCAATTTTATTGTTTAATTGAGGAAGATTAAATTAAATGAAATTATGGAAATAATCAATTACAGTTATTTATTTATACAGGTTGAATATATTCTGGTGAAATTCGATCATGAAAAAAAGGTAGCGAGAGTTTCACTTCGAGCATCTGAGGTCTTAAATATTCTACAGGAAAAAGAAGTCAAGAGTCCACAGTAAGTTACCGATATTTTCCTTTTACTAGGCGAATTATGTATGCATATCCTAAATTTTGTGAGTGTGTTTTGGTATAAAAATGTACGTCAAGGTTTGAGATGTGGCACACGAAAAACCATAAGACCACAATCGACAAGGATTTTATTTTTGTTTTGTGTCAGTTAGCATTTATGGGGGTTTTCCTTGCCAGCAGGGTATTTTTCAACAGTCATACTCTCAAACACTGCAGTTTGGTTGGTGTGTGCAAATATTTGTTACTGTGCTGTAGCATTTTGAGCTGCATATTTTGTTATGTGATTCACATACATGTCTGTGATTTATGTTAGGATGCACTGATTTTATGATATATCTATTGCTAATAGAAGCCAGGATGGCTTAGTTGGTACAGCAACTAGACTGTAGGCTGGGTGGTTGCAGTTATATTTCTGGCAGATGTGGTTAATTTTTCTTTGCTGTACTGAGACAGATTTTAGGGCCCAGCCAGTTTCTATTCGGTATGTTCTGGAATGCTTTCCCTGGGAAGCTGATCATTCACCTTCATATAGTGCTGGGGTTAAGAATACCTCCACTCTTTCACATGTCTTTGTGTCATAGTCCTTACATAAGCACAGTGACAACTTTATCTTTACTTAGTATGTATTTTGCAGTTCAATCTGTCAGATAATGTCTTATTTCCAGTAAGGAAAATAGAAAACATTCCTGAAGAATTGCATAACTTAAGTTTTATATAATGTGCCTGCTGGAATGCCATGTTTCAAGAAACTGATCTTGTATTTAAAGTTTAGCCTTAAAAAAATTAGAATGTACTTCATATTCAAGAGATACCAAGTTAATATCTTAAGCTAGAGACCGGTGTCTGGACTGAGGTTTTTTTCAGTCCCTCCAGTCAAATCCTAGTACTTCAAAATAGGATGTGACAACTTGCTTCCACACCCTTTCTAATTCATTATACAGTTATCTTATTTGTTCTGTGCACAATGTGTATGAAATGAATGCATATAGGGCTAGTCATGCCAGTCTGTCTAGCCGCATGTTCAGTTTGACAACTGCTGGGCAAATGAAATGGATGAAATTTGGTGTGGACATTGTGCCATTGAGGACTAACCTGAAAGTTTTCTACAATTGGTTCTGGGAATATGGGTGAAAACCAAACTTTTTGGTGGCATTGACACAGACACCACTTGCAGCAGTGCCATACAGTTATGTATGGTAAAAGATTTTTTTAAAAAATATAATGCTTTGATATAATAATTCTTTGTATGATGTTAAATAACACATGGCAGCTGCATGAAAGAAATAAACATTTCAACCTTGACCAGGATTCAATCCTGCGACCCCTTGCATAGGAGTATAATGTGCCACCACAGAGCTAAAGTGGCATATGATGTGCTTGTATGGATGTATGGTACTCAAAGAAGACGTAAAAGTGACGTTGTTTGTGTAGTTGGAAACTAAAGTTGTCTGTGGAAGATAACTGACATAATCTTTTCAGAATTTGTAAATAGTGGATGTGTTTATTTCAGTATGGATTACGTCTTTCCAGTCTTGTTGTCCGCTGAGAATCTTCAGGGTTTAATTTCCAAAACCCAATATAAACAGCCATATTCCCACTCCCTGCTGCTATTTTGTTTCAGATCTGTCAAATCTCTCTGGAGGCCAGAATATGGTGCTTACATGATTGAAGGGACTCCAGGCAAGCCCTATGGCGGATTGCTTGCACATTTCAATATCGTTGAAGCAAATATGAAATATCGTAGAGAAGAAGTTGCAAGATCGTTGAATCCAGGAGAAGTGGTCATGTCAGTTACAAGTTTTCCAAGGTAAGACAATATTTATCGTGTACGGTTTCTAAAGGACATAAAATATTCTGAACTTGCTAATTTTATAATAGAAGATAAATTAACATGAATAATATGATTAAGGCATGGTGGATTTTATTTTCAGAATTGGAACTGTCATACTTAAGAATTTGAATGTGCTGTTATAATACTGCAAGAAGAAAACAGAAGCAGTTTTCCCCGTATTTATGCCGTGTGTAACGAAGTTTTTTAATCCATTTTACAACCTATTCTGAAAAATGTTGCAATCAACAGGATGTCTTCTGTTTGCAGGCTTGGTTGTCGTGATTTTACAGATCCTCCAACAGTTCCCACTCCTGAAAGTGGAGCGTCACGTTCTCTTTTCCTTCCTGATGAAGCCATTTTTCCAGGACATCCACGTTTTAAAACCCTGACAAGAAACATTCGACAGCGGAGAGGCTCAAAGGTTGTCATAAACCTTCCAAGTGAGTTTAATTTTACATTGACATAATATCCTCACCATCTTTAACATTTGTCAGTTTTTGTGTTGCATGTAAATCTGTCGAACATCATGATGTAGTCTTTGAGATGAACACGTCAGATCACTTTTATGTTGTGTCCCATTTACTCGCACTGTGTGTGGATGTTTACTACATTGTAACATTTATTGAGATATCAAGCCAGCCAGTTGCCTGTCCATTTGTCCCAAATACCTGCTTCCCAATTTCCATACAGAATTTATTCCAATCATTCTGAGCCCAAAATTTACTGCACGATTGCATTTGCCCATTAAAATCAAATGGATGAAGCAGTTTTGTTTGAATGTGATGTTAATGAGTTTTGTGAATATTGTCAACCCATTTCACTGTTTATTTAGGTTGTAGATTGGCAATTTTTATGCATGCCAGGCCCATGACACAAAAGTCTGTAGATTGAAGCCACTTGAGATGGGGTACACAGGGTCCAGCTCAACCTCAAACCCCCTTCCAGTGGTTTGGAAGTCCTGAGGGAACGTTTGCTTATAATGGCTCGTAGCACTGGTAGGTGTGAGTCAGCATCTGCAATTACAGGACACCACGTGTTTAGTTGTGCTCTGACCCTGATTACAAGTTACGCCTGTTGTGCCTCAGAAGTCGCACGTCTGTCGTGATGGATGTTGAAGTCGAATAACACGCTTTATTGCAGAACAGGGAAACGAGTAGTTACAAGATGGTGATGAAACAAAGCGTTAGGTTTTGAAAGTCTGAATGGATCAGACACAGATGAGGTAGCCTGGGGGAGCAGAGCCCCTGGAGCAACAACCGTAGGATGCTAGATTTTAGGCCTGTAGAGGTAGGTCAGTCTCTGTCCTGGCAGGGGAATGCAAAGGGGGCTCTCAATTTTTTCATTCTGTCGCCCAAATTTCTTCTTCTTTCGTAATTTATCCTGACATCTCTGCTATCAGCTATGTCTTCTTCTGAGCTGGCCCCCTTTGCATGCTGAACACGTACCACAGCATCACCATAATCACCACTGTGTTTTGTACCTTCAGCTGCTAACTTGTGAACTATGGTTTACAGTCTTCAAAGACAAGAATACACCAAGCCCATTTATTGAGAACCTGAGAGCTCTTGGAGATGACGGTGAGTCCAGTAAGGCAGCATTGCCAAATCATGTGTACATGGATGCAATGGGATTTGGCATGGGATGCTGTTGCCTCCAGCTTACATTCCAAGCTTGTAATATCAATGAAGCAAGGACCCTCTATGATCAGCTTACACCTCTCTGTCCCATCATGGTGAGTAAGAGAGAGAAAGTATATTATTTTTTTAATTAACCCATTGTGAAATATTTGAGGTTTTCACAGCGGTGAGTATGAAGATATCTGTCTTCTGGGTTGTTGCGCTGTGTAGTCTGGTCGATGTTTACCAACGTTTCAGAGGTCATACTGCCTCCGTCATCAGGGCGATGATATCTTCAACTGTACAGAGTGTGACTGGTGGACTTACAGCATGTAGCTCTTTGTGAAGTTAATAGCAGCTCAGCTAATCGAGAAATTTCTGGCCATTTTTGGAACCCAAGAATTCATTACTGTGTTTAGCCAACAGTCCGTATCCTGAGCTGCCTTAATCCTGTCCGCATCTTCTCAGCCTATTTTCTTAAGATACATAAGACTTTGTTTGTTCTAAAGGAACCGGTGCAACACACGTGGGAAGATTGAAAAGGTTGTTTGTTTGTGTTATTTCATATTAGCTTATGGTAAAATGAAAAATAGGACTGTAAACTATGTAAGATATGAATATTGAAACACTGAAGTTACTTGCAGTTAATTTGTAATACCTGCTGATAAAAGAATAATACTTAAGACATCAGTCTTGAAGAAAAGACTTCTGAAAATTGATCATAGTAAATTCTAAAGTTTGATGACACAATTTCCAGAACACCCATTTTACTACATTTCAGTTGGCATTAACAGCAGCGTCGCCCTTGCATCGAGGCTATGTGACGGATGTAGATTGTCGGTGGAATGTTATCTCCTGCTCTGTGGATTGTCGCACCAGAGAAGAGAGGGGAGAAGTGCCTCTGAAACACAACAAGTTCAGAATACCTAAATCTCGCTACGATTCCATTGACTCTTATCTCTCGCCACAAGGAGAGAAGTAAGGCATTACTACTTTCGTCTAGTATGTATTGAAGCACAAGCAGAACATTTATTTGCTTGTGTTAACTAATTTGTTGTTTTGTGGTAAAAAAAAACCCTTTCCTTTGGTATGTATGAAAAAAATATTTATATACAGTAGAGTGGTAATTACTCCTCCCCCAATATTGTCAGGGTGATTAAGTCGAGGAGAATGAGATGGGCAGGGCATGTAGCGCGCATGGCTTGGTCAAGAGGTGTGCCCCGGGTATTGGTTGGGAAGCCTGAGGGGAAGAGGCCTCTGGAGAGACCTAGACGTAGATGCTGTCATAAACTAGAGCAGTTTCAGTATCTAACCCTTAAAATTATTTCCTTTTTTGGATTAGGTAGAATGTAGTATCATACATGGTAATAAACTTTAGACTTTCTTCAACAGGAATGGAATAAAATTACATATCAGGTTAAATTTTAATTTGTAAAGGCAAGAAACTTTGTGAGAAACATCCCAAATATTATCACACCTGTGATTAGAGGATTCAGGTGGGAGGGTCTGGAGTGGCTTCATTTGCCTCTGGATAGCGACCAGTGGTGGGCTCTTGTGCATGTGGTTATGAACCTTCAAATTTCATAAAATGTAAAGGATCTCTTGAGTAGCTGAGGGACTATTACCCTCTGAGTGGAGTTAGTTGTAAACTTGGATGTCTTTCTCGTTTACTGAGACTTGATAATGTTGGGCATCCTTCATTCACCAAATGGATCCATTTGTCATGATAGCGGGTTAAATCATTGTCACTTTGTATTTGGTTGCCGATTCTGCTGCTGTTTTGTACATAAAATTATACATAATCTAATTATAATTATTCTAAATGGATCCATTTGTCGGGTCTAAATACTGAATCTGCATTTGCTTACTGATAATGCATAATTTGAAATTTAATTTGTTAATTGATCTGTGTTTCTTTTCTTTTGTCATTTCAATTATTCTGTTGTAGATTTAATTTTCAGGTCCATAAATGTTTTCTTTGTTACATTTATGCTGATTATGTTACCATACTCACTGTTGGTTGTTATGAACCTTAGTTGATTTTTTTTATTTATGAACAACATAGCGTTATCATTGCGTGTTGCTGACGCTCCTTACTTTTGTTGTGTTGGCTGTTACAGATACAATGATGTGCCTTTGATATATGATATGGCCATCTACGAGCAGCTGCGTGATGCGGACATTGATCACCTGCTAGCACAGCACATTGCTCATCTGTTTATACGTGACTCTGTGTCCCTGTTCACCGAGAAGGTGGACCAGGATGATGAGCAAGACACAGACCATTTTGAGGTTTGTCACATATAACTGTCATAAATAAGAAGTCACACGTGCTTTAAGACTTTGTTCATCACTAATTACGTTAGTTTCCAGCAATATTTTCAAGTCTGCGAGGGCTTGGTGGTCTAGAGGAAAGGTGCTGGGCTAATTTGCCAAGCATTCCTGACAAAATGTAATGCACGTGTTCTCTGGATTCTGGCCCTTCAGGGCTTAAGATAGAGACAGTACACTTACCCAAAATGTTGGCATCTACCGACCAGTCCGCACAATGCCAGAGCCCAAAAGAACGTCAGCAACATTGTCACCACTGTGAAAACCTCAAGTGTCATGCAACTAACATGGTTGCAGGCCCACGATATATGGAGGGATGGTCCAACACCTACCAGCGTAGAGACCATTGTGTGTCCTGGACATTGAGGATGGGTATTGTTTTGCGACACAGTGGTGGTTCTCTGTAGGATGCTGGCACACATTTGCTCCAATTTCTCTCTACACAAGAAGCTCCCTTCACTTTTGCAGCGTTCTTGATTCTTGGATGTTGCAATCGTCCCACGCCGTAGCCGCGCGGTCTGAGGCATCGTGCTTTGGGCCAGTGATACGGAATGCGCGCTGGTTCGAGTCTCGGGGGAAAGAAATTTCTCATGAGATTTTTGACCGGTGTATGGGGCCGGTGCCTACCCAGCATCGTGAGGAAATTGGGGAGCTACAATAAGTAGCGTAAAACTAGCAATGGCTGAGGGTTTGTTGTGCTCACCACACGTCACCCTATATCTGGTTGGACGATCGTTCACCTCTGCTGAGGCATGTGAACGTGAGGCCAGCAGCCAGCTAGTCGGCTTTGGCTATCAGAGGGCTGTTACGCCACGGATTATTATTATTATGGATGTTGCAATCTCTCACATATTTACAGTTTATACATGAAGTTTTTCTGTGATCAGCTTTAAGTAGTGTTTGACTATTCCTTAAATATTTTGTATTGGTGTTCCATATTTGCTTGTTGTGTAGCCTGTGGATTTTCCTTTGACAGCTACAAAATAAGAGTTCATTAATGACCATTCACATGTAACTTAATAGCTGTTTATGTCTGTTTACAGAATATTCAGTCAACTAACTGGCAGACAATGAGATTCAAGCCACCGCCTCCAAATTCGCCTATTGGTTGGAGGGTGGAATTTCGACCTTGTGAGGTGCAAATCACAGATTTTGAAAATGCAGCTATCGTGTGCTTTGTGGTGCTGCTGACCAGGGCAATCCTGTCATATCAACTTAACTTCATTATACCCATCAGCAAGGTCAGGATCAGTGCTTACTGAAATGTGAGGTATACTGTTAACATTTAAGAGAAATTATTTCTTAGACAATTTAGTTTTTATGTAAAATACATTTTGAAAAAGGAATTCATATCCATCAGTTTGCAAAGCAAGAGCTCTGAGGCTGTGGACATGGTTTGTATGAAACTCTGCATTGTAATCCTACAGCACATTTTGTAATTCCAGTATGATTTTAGTATAATTTTATTCAGTTTAAGGATCTCTTTGTGCCTCAGTGAACATTGTGTATGTGCTGTGTGTTGTATACTTCCAAGTTTTTAAGGCATATTTTCATATTCCCTTGAGAGAAAAATATAATTATTTATAAATTTAACATTATGTCTCAAATGGTATTGCCACAAAGCTCGTAGGTTTGGAGAAGTTGAAGAATTTCATAACACTAACTGTTTCATTTAGTATATGCTATCGTAAGAAATGTGCACAGCTCTTGTGTTTCCCTGCCATCTGCCAGATGACTTCTCAACTTACAGTGCACAACCTATTATTCCCGTGTGTACCGCGAGAGGAGACAGCCCTCACGCATAAAAGAAACACTTTTCATTAATGTCACTGGCAGGTTTGCATTGGCCCATTCTTCTTGTTACTTTGAATAAATGGAGCATTGTAGAAATATATACATTTATTTGCTGTTAGTACATTTGAAGTCTGGCGCATTCACTGTCCCGACAAGGTTAAATTTTGCAAACGGAATTTATAGAATTTTACTTGTATATTCATAGTTTGCAAGGGATTGCTGTTTATCACCTGCAGGTTGATGAAAACATGAAACGTGCTCAGAAACGGGATGCTGTTCTTCAGGAGGAATTCTACTTCCGCAAAGATATTACAACGTGCGTCTCTCCACCTGCTGCAACTTCGTGCTGCCACACCAGCGATTGCAGTGATGTGTACACTCCCATGACAGTCGACCAGATCATCAATGGCAAGGTAACTCTTTATTTTGCCTTCAGTTTCTCAACTTTTGTGCACTGAAGGCAGAGAAATTGTGATTAGTGTTTTTTTTTCCCCCTGTCAGGAGTGTAGTGCAGCAGTACCATAAGTTGGGTTCTGAATCGTAGGTTCAGATATGTCTTTTGTGTTTGATTTTTATTTTGAAATATATTTGTTTCACATTAATGACGAGCTCTGGGGGCAAATGTAATATGACCTATGCTCATGTTACATACCTCCTTTCAGCATCACATTTCTGGTTATATAAGCAATATTTGATGCAGAATTTATAGGTATGTGTGAGATCTGTTTCCATGTAAAATTTCACATTCTTAGGTCCAGTGCTTCATTGGTTGTTACCATCAGATGGAAAGCTAAATATATATTTCATGCAGTTGTCATTTTATTATTTTTTGAGAGACAGAATGTTTTAGAGTTGACATTTGACTGGGATGAACTTCTTTTATATATTTAAGATCTTACAGAGCCACCGTATGGTATACGTTGTCGTTTCAGCCAAACGAGTTCCCAGGGCTTATTCCGCTGATCAACAGTTACCTTAGTGGTATGGATGTTGATGCGGACACACATTGCACCATCCAGCAGTACTTGAAACTGATCCAGCGAAGGGCATCTGGTGACCTGCAGACCACAGCAAGCTGGATGAGGCAGTTCATCCAGTCACACCCAGAGTACAAGTTAGTGCCATATTTATGCAAATATAAACCACACTTCTTTCCTGGTTTGCGTCCCCCGCAACTAGCGTGTAGCTTATCTAAATTTTTTTTTTTTTTTTGGGGGGGGGGGAATATTTGGTCAGCATTGTGGTTGGTTAGGAAGTGATGGTTTTAAATGTAAAAATATTTCAATAATAGCAAATTTTTAAAACTTGTTTCACTGCGGCAATAGACCAAGTTGTTGCAGTTGAATGGAAAGTGATACAGGGGATACAGGAGTTAAAACTTTTAAACAACTTAGCTCTCTGGCAGTAGCTGCTTAAAGCAGGTACATGAAATAATCTGCGTCTTCTCGTACTTTGAGGCCCTGTCTTGCTTTCATTTGAATGGTTTTAATGGCTGTGCATCTGTTGTGCACAAAACAAGTGCAGAGCATACACTTTGTTCAGAAGACATTATTTTCAGCCAAATGGACATGAAGTTATCTAGTGATTTCATCATATGGACCAATACTTTTCTGTTTAATATCCAAGATAATTGTATGCTGTCTCTTTCTTAAAGACTCTGTTTTATGTTTTATTTTAACAGTCACCTGCAGATATCGTGTAACTGCAATACTCAAAATAGCATTTTTGCAGGCTGGCAGGCAGTGTGTGACAGTACACGCAGTGTCGTCATCGTCATGAAACCACTACAACCAGTGTATTTTAAACCTGGAAGTTTAAATGTGGCTGTTGTTTGAGGAGAAATGTGTCGTATATAAATAGGATTTTGCTTTTCGTTTTCTTTTTAAGTGATTTGCTTCTTACATATGTACATTTCCTATGTTTGTGTAAATACATTGTGTCAGATGTGGTCTGACGTGTTTTAAAGAATTAGTGTCATCTGATGCTAGATACACATGGAGCTCTCTTAGACATTTAATCAGCCATAAACTGGTAAATTGCTCTGGATTGGCTTGTATGTGTGCTGCATTTGGTATTTTCACCTTTTTAAAAGGAGCTTCTTCAACACCAGATTTTTTGACACGATCTGCCTGTTTTCTTTGGAGAATTTCAAATCTGTTGAATGTATGCAAAGGTATGTAAAGGATTAATGTGGCCTACTATCGTGGCATTTGCCTGGAAGAACTGAGGAAAACCACTGAAAACCCCAGTCAGGATAACCGGTCTCCGGGTCAAGATTTGAACCAGGGGACCTCTCGACCGTGACGTTCAGTTTCATATATTTTAGTATAGAAAATCTGTAAACACTGTCTTGTTATGCATCCCTTGTTTCTGTTTGCACTTTCAGGCATGATTCAGTGGTGAGCGAACGTATAAACTATGACCTGCTGACCCAGATTCATAGGATACAGACTGGAGAAATTTCTTGCCCAGAATTACTGGGAACTTGTTTACAATCCAAGACTCAGGAATCCATTCCTGCAGCAGTTCAGAAGGCTGAAGCTATAAATGGCGAGTGTTGCTGAACTTGATGTGTCGTTGAAGGTAGGTGGCTGAGGTTGTAGACGAGGTACTTCGGACCTGGTGATGTTCAGTGATTTTGCTGTTCTCACGACTGTACATATAGTATAAACAGTTCTCTGTAGGACTGGAGGCAGGGCTGTGGCTCTACCTATAATAATTACGTGTAGGAATCACTTGATAGGAACTCGACGCCATACAGTTCTTCCCATGGATCTGTATGGAGTGGTAGAATAAATTATCTAATTCAGAGTAAAATTTTAAGCACTAATATCTGTTATGGAAACCAGTTTTAATATTAGTTTAATTGCATTCTGAATAAAAACATTGTGAAACAGATCTGTATCCTTCTTATCTGATTCCCCATGTGATATAAAATGTGCGTGCATTAACGAGCGTCTGATGTAAACTTTAAGAGTCAGTTGCATCCTGCCAATTGCTTGCCACGATATATCCCACTAAGGATCATACCATTTCCCAAGGTATATAATGATTCCTTCATATGATTTTGCTTTATCTCGGTTCTGATTTTGTTACTTTCTGCTTTCAGATCTTTGTTTGTTTGCATGTTGTAATAATGCCCGTTGATGAGAACACATGTTTCGCTCAGAAGCCATAATCAAAATGTGCCCATCAGAGGGCAATTTCATTGATGAATCTATTTTAGGACAAGGAAATATATTGTAATCTTACTAGTCTGGTTTGCAGGTGATCAAAAATTAAGGATTTTTTAATTATCCAGTTTTCTATCTGTGTACGGTGTTCATGATCAGGACGTCCGTTAAGTCTATTAAGAAACGCTGAAGTGAGCTCTAGATGAGACTTGTATAATTTTTCCTCCTCCCACTACCGTTGTTAAGCTGGATCAGTATAGCTCGCTTACCCAGTGATTAGAACAAGTTTGTAGGGGTGCAGAAAACCACCTTGAAGTTTATTAATATTTGTTTCACTACAAGTTTTTGTTATTGCATGAACTGTCTTGCTACAAATTGTAATATTTAAGTAACTATGTTTCACTCTTGCATGATAAAATAATAATTGAATTACAAACTAACATCATTTTTAAGTGTCTACCTTATAAGGCATTCAAATTCTATCTTCAGAGATCAGGAATGTCACCATCTACAGATTAGATTGAATTATGCAGAATCCAATTAAAGCTGTTTGTTGTGCACTGTGCCATCTGTACAAATCCATGAGGAGTGCTGTATCAAACTACAGACGATGTACTTTCATTAAAAAGTTACTTTTCTTATGATAAACAGAGAAAGAATGTAATTTATCAAAACCTTATTTGTATGAAATTCAGTTAATATAGACTGAATCATTTGTTGGTATAACGGGGATATTTTACTTGTATAATGCATTCCATCAAATTTCTAGAGGTCTTATTTTGTCAGTTTTGCAGTGTTGCCTCTGAATTTTAGGAGGTACACATCATCATCATCATCATCATCAATCTCTCAGCATGAAAACGTTTTACAAGAATGTGATATTCCTATGCAGAATATTGTTTTCAGATCTCTAGAATGCAGTGAATATTATGTAATAAAGTGTTTGTCAGTGTAATGGCTGAGAAAGGGATATTTAATACAGCAACAGCCATGGGAAGATCATAATAGCAGCAGATAATTAGACACACTTGCACTTTGAGAGAGCGGGTATTGAAATTAATTGATTTTAGAACTGATTGGTATTGCCATAAAAGTTGTGTGATGGGGGGTGGGGGGGTAGGATATAGCTTTAGTGATTACAATGGGGTGAATTTCAGGGAGTTGTAGGTTTCATGTTTGGTTGTAAGGGTGTTCTCTGTGTAGGTAAATGTCTATAAGTATATATTGTGATTTGTTTAATGCTACAGCAGCTTTAACCCTGGGGAAAGGGCATATGGTGCCCTTGAGGCTACGTAGGCCCCGCAGCTAGGGTGGAAATTTTCTGTGCCGTGTGTCCGTGTTTTTTAACTCAGGAGGTCATGTCAGTCTCAGGGTGTCAGGTGAAATGACTTGATTTTAGGCACAAAGGCAGATATTTGTTGTTTTGTTGTGTTGGTGCAGTAGTCAGAGGATTTTTGAAATTGTATCTATGAATACTCATCCATCAGTAAATAAATTAACATTCCATGATTCACTTTCTTACTGCTGTTGGGTCATCTTTCAAAATATGAAAATATTTTATAATAGGAAGCTTCTTTACTTGGTTATCAATTCCAACACCCGCTGTAAATATTTACTTCAGTATTCCCTTATAATATAAATATGGCACATGTAATTTATGAATAATGATTGTTCAGTTGTCCTGAATGTCTGATTATGATTTATTTTACTCAGTATCACATGACTGATAATTATACACACACGAATCACATTACAACGTGGATTTTCAGCTGCAATCCTGACAAGTCGATGAAGACCGGTCTCTTATTACAAAGGTCGCTGTGCTTGATTTAAGTTTTTCTCTCCCCCCCCACCCCAAGACGGTTCTACCAGTAATATTAAAATCTGTGCTTCATAGTGAAGTGCATGATGTCCTTTAGTAACTGAAGTGGATTCTCCTTTCCTTGCTCATTCAGAAATACAGTGTTTTAATTAAATAACGTGTGCCTTACTGTTGTACTGTGTGCCAGTCATGTGACCTGTACCAGCTCGCTGTATTAACGTTAATGTGGTCTCCTCTCAACTAGTAGGAACAAAAGTGAAAGGAGTTACTGTTTTGGTACTCTGAGCACTTTGGCTGGCTGCTTCTGTCATTGGTAATACTTTATTTATGCCACAAAGAGGTTAAATCTCTTCACAGGTCAGATGTAGCAGGAAAGTGACTCCTTGAACAGAACTTAATTTAGCTCATGACAGGAATCTTGAAAGGTCTTATTCTAGTAGACTTCATTTCATATCACTATTCTTGTATTGTATGTGCTCCTACAACCTAATTAGGGATGATAAACTGACAGATATGTCATTATTTTGGATACAACCTTCCTTTGATAAACATTTAGCCTAAATTATAAATTTGTAATTTTTTTAGCCAGTACACGGCCTCATGTATATGATTATAACAGTTGTTACTTCTTGTTAGCTGTTTACAGATACGGTGTCATGAAAGAGACCCATTGAAATTTTCAGTGAAGAAGAAACTGTCGCAAACTTTTTAGCTGATGTATTGTCAGACATTTAGGATGGCAAACCTGGTGGTAGTTCATGATCTAATCTCGCATATATTTGATGATGAGGGCCAAGTACAAGTAGCAGTAGATGGTGTAGATGGTTCAGTGTCTGAATCTGACAGCGTAAACCCTGTTCCTGACAGCACAGCAACAGATGGGGGGTAGATACAGTGCCTGAAAAAACTGGCAGTATTTCTGAGATTGTGGGTCTGTACACAGGTGTTGATCAAATTGAAGCTTTCACAAAAGAATCAAATATGTACCACAAAGTTCTGAAAACTTAAAATCTTCTGTAAAATGCCAAGAAGTCATATATGATGAAAGTTAAAATGGAAAAATATTTACGACTATTGGTATCGATGGGTCAGGTATGGTAAGACGGTACCAAAAACTAATGATTGGTGGATCCATCCATAACCACTCCTGTATTTCCACAGACTGTGAGTAGTAATGTTTGAAGTTCCATCCCCATGAAACATGAGAACTTCTTGAAGGTTTGAACTCACATGCCCAGGTAATCATACGAATTCTGCATATTGTGTATGAAAGCTTTGCATGTTGCATCATGTCTATCGTGTATGACGGAAATTGAGTTGTTCTTTCCTCAAGAATTCTTGGTCCTCTGGCTGTGAATTATCTTCACATTCAGTTTGTCCAGTATGGAAAAATTGTTGCAGGGGGCAGAGTCATGAAATATACAACTAGGAAGTATAAAGTGTGTGCTGAAAAAAGTACAAAAAATACAAAGGGGTGAAACAAAGTAAATTTGCAATTTCGGTTCATTGGCACTTCACAAAGTATTATTTCTTGAGAAATGTCATTTTGAGAAACATTATTAGACATCAGTATCCTGAAACACCGAGACCATCATAAGCAAAAGACAAAAGCATTTTGAGAAGAGAGGCATTATGTGTACGGTAACTGGGGATTTTAAATTTAAATATCTGCCAGTACTCGACGTATTAAAGCAGCACATCAGTGAAACTTGAAGTTCCTTGGCAGAGGTCTCATTCCTAGAGTGATGCAAACAGTCGGACTATTGAACTGAGTCTCCTCTCTACGTTATGGTGGATGGCATTTGCACAGTAATGTTAATCTTGTGAAGTTTAAGGTGCTCAGATCTCATGGGCTGAAGATAAAGGCAGTATGTTCCTCGAGAACGTTGGTATACACGCACAAGTGCACTCGATGTAACAACTGGAAATACCACAGTCTGAAGTATTAATCTTTACTTCCTAAAAATTAATGTAGTCCATGCATATTTGCACCAACCACTGTCACAGAAAACTTATATAAATGTGTTTAATCTTGCCAGGACCTGCAGTTTTCTTTGGTAGAGATATTCGGGAGACAGAAGTTTCACTTTTATGTCATGGTTATTGGAGTTCACTACTCATTGGTTGGTCTGTCACAGAATTGCATCGGGTTGGGTTAGGTTACATTAGGTTAGTGATGTGCATGTGCAGAAAACCATGCACATGGATGTTTGTTAGAGTAATGCCCCAGACTTGTAAATTAAAGAATTACAGCACAAAATATATCTGCTGCTAATCTCTACCTCTCTCTCTCTCTTTTTAAAATTTTTCCAAGTGATTAGTTACCTGAAAGTGAAGTTTCTCTGTTCGTGTTGTTATTAAGACTCCAGTTGAGCCAACACAGTCCATAGTGGCACCTTGAAGCTTTTATGAGTGCTGGGGCACTGCCCTGCAAACAGTGAAGTCAGTCATGGGCTTAGTAGCAAAAGGAAAGGGGAGTTGTCCCCACCCCCGCTAAATGTAAGATATGATCTTGTAATATAAAAGTCAGAACTTACTGGTTTCTGGCCTCTGAGGTGGAAGCATCTGGCACTGCTAGTCTCTGCATTTTGTGAGCTGTATTCACAAGTATAAAACTGTCGTTAAGAATAACAATAGCCTCATATGATTCATGCCTATTCCTTTCACTGGAACTGCGTGCCAGATTGCCCAGGTTTGTTAGCCACTGTAAAACCTACTGGACAGGCTTTGAGTTGTGGAATTTTCTTGTACCTGGTTAATATGAGCCTTGTTTTACCAAATTAAGTGGACCGGGGTAACTGGTTTCCAGAGTGCATAGGGGCTATAAATAGGTAACTTTATAATTCAAGGATTTTTATGTATTCGTATTCCAAGCATTAGTGACTGAACTATAAATTCATATTTGTAAATGTGGGTGCATATATGGATCAATGGTGGAGGAGTGCTTTTGGATTGGGTACTAGGTATTGCATTAGGGAAAAGGTCACTCAGCATATCAGAAGATACGTCACTGCCGCAAACAGATAAAATATTACCTCATGTTGTGGTAGGTGATGAGGCGTTCCCACTCATAAGAAATTAGCCGAGACTGTATGCAGCAAAGCTTACAGCGTGTCTGAAAATTGTTTTGGCACAAACAGAATTTTAGACTCTACCGGTGGAGACTTCAGCGAAATCCAGAAAAATTATAGAATAATTTTGGCTTCATGTGGTCTGCATAACTGCGGACCATGTTCTCATTCTTCAAAATTACTATTTTTGTATGCTTACGTCAGACAGATTTGTACTCGGAGGCTTTATTTAGTGTTTTTCTGTCGTCATTACAGATGTGGTGGAGCTGTTTCTGTTGTGCAATCTTGGTAACACAAGTGGTCAGTAGTTGATATATAACCAGCGATTTTACTGCTTAATTGTTATTGGCCTGTAATTTGTTTTGTATGTGCATATTTCTAATTTATCCTGTTTTTGTTCTTTTTATAAGTTATTTTGTATGTCATTGTTCATGATTTAGTAATGACCACTATGAAATTGTGTTCTTATTTCGTGAATCTTTTAAATAAGTAAGTAGTGTTCCTAATTTTTGTTAAATGAATAAAAAAAAGTGGCTCGCAGAAAATGATGATACACTTGTATATTGTATTTCATTGTAAAATAATTTTAGATCCTCAAATGGTCAGTGCTGGAAAAAATGTACTTATAATAATGGGGATGTGTGAACACTCCAAATTCCAAACCATGAACTTTCTTGACCACATGGGAGATAGAAATTGAAACAGGAACAAAATATTGAAATGGATCTTAGGTATATGATGTTTGATGGGGATTGGACTGATCTGGCTCAGAGTAAGTTCTGGTAGTAGGACCCTGTGGTAACTGTGTTGAACTCTCTGATTGTATTATGTGTGTGTGTATATGTACGTACATAAAGGTGTGTTAAGATTCAGGTGGCTCAGGATAGGGACGGTTGGTGGGATTTTGTTAACATCGTAATGAAGGTTTTGGTTCCATAAAAGTGGGAAATCTCTTGACCAGCTGAGCAACTGGTAACTTCTCAAGAAGCACCCTGCTTCATGGAGTTAGTTATAATCAGTAATGCATGATTGGTACAACTGCTAATGTGCATAATTTACTACAAAATTTAGCCCCAGTTTTAGTGGAATTCTAGTTTTAATGTGTAATTGAAATTTGACTTATCTTAATCATCATTGTATAGTGAGCACAGTAGTTTTTGGCTGGTGGAATTTTCAAGGGGAGGCTAGGAGTGAGTCACTTGTACGATAGTAAAATGTTTTGTCTGCCTCCAGGAAGGATGAGGAGCTTATCGAACTGAAAGCCCAAACAAAAGAAATACACCGACAGCTAGGAGTGAGTCACTTGTACGATAGTAAAATGTTTTGTCTGCCTCCAGGAAGGATGAGGAGCTTATCGAACTGAAAGCCCAAACAAAAGAAATACACCGACAGTGCCACCTCAGGTACACAGAATAGGCCCATCCGCCAGCTCCTCCCAGGCCAAAAACTATGTCTTACACACAGTCCAGCTGGCCATGTGTACTGCTAAACCATAAACCATGCAGTTATAGTCCAGGTGGCAGCCTCATAATATAGGGGTTTGAATTGCCTTTTCCTGCATGATAAAGGTTAAATCTTTTCTGATATTATTATTTTTGTGTAAAACTGTCTAAGGTTAATGGATAAATTTGAAGTTTGAGGCCATATTTGAGGAAAAGTTTAAGATATACAAAAATTTGAGTTCACACATCTCTGGTTAATGTATATAAGGCCTAATGCTTTAATTGTTTTTTTTTTTCACAATGCAAATACTCTTCAGAAATACAATATATGAAATTATCAGCTACAGAAATTTTAGTGCCTGTAGTAGGTGGAATTGTAGAAATATATGAAAGTGATGCATTTAAAAATGTTAGTGAGAGTTTTGTGAATTGTACAGAAATGTTAAATGATTATTGAGTGTTCTGTTTTATATATAATCTATACACATCCACACAATGTAAACTGTATTATGACAGTGTATACTATGTACGGCTGTTAACTGCATTTATTAGTGGTATTATTGTTACGAGTACTTAAGTTTTGTAAGCAATTATATGGATTCATCTTGTATTTGTCATACAATAATATATTATCATGTCATGTTACAATGGGAAGATTTGTGTAGCATTTATGTAATTTCCTGGCTACGAGAATTCCTACTTCATTTGTGGTTATCAATTTTTTCATGGCTGATCTGGGAATTATATTCCATAATGCTATCTGGTAAGCATTAAAGGGGTTGATGGACCATGTTTTGCACCAATAATTTAGAGATTTGTTAGGATTATGATAATATATACAGGGTCTTTGTGCACTGTCAGCAACTGAAGATTTGAATGCAGAAATTATATCCCATTTTAAAGCTGTTTAGCCATCACTGCCCCTTTGACGGTGGTTCTCAAACTTCTTTTCTGGCACCACCATTAAAGTACCAAATATGTTTCACTCACCATACAGTCATTTACATAAAAAAACTCAACATACTTCCTCAACTCACCATACAGTCATTTACATAAAAAAGTCAACATACTTCCTCAGTGGGAAGGATGGGTGACACTAGTGACTGATCCTAGGGTGGATCATTCATAAGCCATTTTCAAGCTGCAGATGGTTATGGTACTTTGATTTAATTGGCATCATTGCTGAATTTTTTTTTCACACGTATGTCGTACAGAAAGTAATATATTGAAAGCAAGAAAAGCCACAGCTTCAAATTTGTATTTAAGGGAAGTATCACCGGCAAATTCCATCTGGGATTTTATAGAAAGGTGACTTAAATTGCAAATAGACTTCAGATCCATTCATACTGAGAAAGAGTTATGTCTGAAAAGCTAATCTTAAAATTACACTCACAATCAGTGAGGTGTGTTAGAACTTTAGGTTTAATTTATTTAAATTCATAATCATATCCTTCGACATACTTATGCTAAACATTTCTATGCCATCACTTTCACAAATGTTCTTCCAAGGTGTCATCTTTTTTTATAAATACCAACACTTTATGACTTCTTGGGCTACTAGCTGTGTCAGGGGGATGAATAGAGAAAACACTTATTTCAAGAACCATCCTCATCCTCAGGGTACTGAAGTTTGCCTGACACGTCTAGTATCCCGAGAAGAATACGTTATACTTAGTCGATGTGAAAGCTTCAGATTATACATCCCAAGATTTTGTCAAAAAGCTTTACAATGTTAGCATTTGGATGTTGAAGAGAGGTGTTTCATCTGCTGAACATATCAGACATGTCTGATAAATGGGATAGAAGAGTAAGACGCATATCCAGAAAGTATTGGTAAAGTTCAGAATTAGAATCCTGTAAAAACCTTCATTCTTGATTAGTGATTAGTGGTTTGCTTGCAATTCCTCACACAGTACTGCATATAGACAAATGTTGAAAGGGCGAGCCTTCACAAAGTCTCTTGTAACACAGCAAATAATTGAGGCTGAAGGTCATGTGACACTACAGCCTCCATGAAAGTTGCAATGTATAAAGTTTAGGTGAGGAACAACTTGCCTTTCTTAAGCTTTCAAGCTGAAGTAAGGCAAGTGTTTCAAGTGCTTGGACATAGTTTTCACCATGTATAATGTCATATTCTGATAGCTGCCAGTAGTAGCGTGTGGATGCTGTGACTGCTGTTTTCTTTAAGTGTCACTGTCTCTGCAGAGGCGACAATGAACAATTTTTAATCTATCTTAAATTATCAGTGTACAACCTAACCTAAGTTTGCAACAGATTGCAAAAAAATAATACACAGCTGCATCCTGATTGGTTGTGATGAGCGTGGAACTTGTCGATTAGCAACATATTTAATGATTCGAGGTTACTTCGTTCAAGAAATTCTACCACACTGAGTAAACTTGTTCCGAATGCATGTTTTGCCCTGATTTAATTTATCTCTCAAGTCTTTTGAGAGGGTGGATACACTTTTGAGGATATTAATAACATTGAAGTTCACAGACGAAAACGAGGTTTCAGAAGTGCCAACCTACCCGCGTGTGTTAGGTGTTTGTGGTGTGTGGATATTATGTATGCCAATATTATGTTGTTTTTAGCGTGAAGTATGCTTGCTGTTGAAATGGCAATTCAGAACAGGGCGTATGAAATGAATAACATTAAATAAGACATACATTTTAATGTTTAAGATATTAGAAGCGCAAAAGAAGTTACTCTTCTATTCTACGTCAGATAGGAGTCACAATGTGAAAAGACGTGTCACTCAGGTAAGAAGGAAAATTTTGCAACAGGAATTCAAAATGAATGACTAAAGCACTGCAATTGATAATTTTTCTGTGGATAGTGTAAGATTCAGCACATTGCTTTTCCCAATAACAAATGGCCTATCAGAACGTGGTGCTCAGTATCTTATGATTAATTATTTTGCAGCAGCAGGTAACTTAGTACCTTTGAAGTAGAGTACAAGAAAATTAAATGAAACAGTCATACAGTTTCAACTTCTTCGAAAGAGTGAAACAGGGAATCTGTTTATAAAGTCAGTGACATCAACAGTAAATTTAAATAATTTTTGTATATTGTTCTAAATATCTTTGAAGCTAGTTTTCCAATTAAATATAAAAGTATTGATAAAGTAAAGAATGCCCGGTGTACACTAGGAATGAAAATATCTTGCAAATGTAATGTAATTAACCAAACGTAAGAGCATGTTGTGAAATCCTGAAAATGTTTTAAAAGAGACTAAGAATTGGCAGTGCAGTAGACTTACAGCAAATCAGGCAGTGAAATAAAAAGATAATGAAATTTTGTTTATTAAATAACATTTTTATGGCATTCAAGGAATAGATGCAAAATGATTCCAAACCTATCAGACAGGAAACAAGTCTGAAGTAAAATCACACACACACATGAACACATACATAGTCCACAGTAATTGGGCCAAAGTGCTGTGGCAGATTGAAAACACAAATTGGACCACGCTGCCACTGAGACTGGCACATAATATAAATGGGTAGTGTAATTTATCTACTTTATGTAAACTCTTTGTTTGAAATATGTGAAATTTTATAGTATGAATTGCACTTGTAATATGACAATATGTATTGTATTATTATGGCTTATTCTATATCCTATTGTAATCTGACTAACATTTGGATCCATGGAGTGTTGTAAAGGACTGTGTCTGTGTTTGTCTCTGTGTCTGTGTGTGATGTCTGCTGTGAAAAATGTAGTGACCATAAAGCAGTAACATAAGTCAGAAATAGTTACCTTAATTTGGACTACAATCTCACAGAAAATCATTCAATTCTGAGGTCAGGTTGGGTTGTGACCTGCTTTGATTTTGCGTGGAAAGACTCACACATTTAATTTTTATATTACAGATATTTCTATTTCGTTTACCATGAAGCATCTACGGAAACTATTTGGTGTATACCGTGCAGTTCTGTATACTCACCCAGTGTACACACAAGCGTTGCAGTCTAGTTTCCTTATGGGGGTAGGAGATGTGCTGTCTCAAACTGTCTTTGAGGACAAAGGAATTAAGAATATTGATAAAGGACGTGTTATCAGGTTCGCTGGTATTGGATTCTTTTTTATGGTAAGTATAAAAGTATCATACATAAGTGTGGAGTAATTTGCGGTTGTGTATGATATTTTGGTTTGTAACCTTTGTTTCTGTAATCTACTTGAAGGAACAAATAATTTTTGTCAAGGTACCATTCTTCTGTTGTCTGTAGTTTCTGAGTTACAAAAGCATTTTGACCGTGACTGAAACGTAGGACAGCTTTTTGGGGTTATGGGCTTTGTTTCTGTAATCTCCCCATTGAAACAAACAACTCTAATCATGCCACTGTTCTTCTGTCATGCTTAGTTCTCAGAGAACAGAAACCATCTTCACCTGGTTCTGAACTCATCACAGTTTTTCAGGATTGTGATCAGTTTGAACTTATAGATCTATTCTGTTTTCTAGATTATTTTATGTGATATATAACCATACAAGAAATTATATTCATATGCTACATCAGATATCAATAGCTCTTTTGCCTGGTAAAGCAAAATTTGGGTGTTTTTATTAATGTATCATGGCTTTTGTTCCTGTAATCTTCCTACCAAAATAAACAGCTTTGGTCCATGTTCTGTTTTTCAATTATGCCTAGTTTCTGAGCTACAGAAATCATCTTCGTCGAGACTTGAACCCATGAGAGTTTTCTTCTGGGTCGTGGTTGTTGTTACTGTAATCTCCACGCTGAAACGAACAACTTTGGTCTAGACACCACGTTTAGGTTTTGCTCAGTGTTTGAAATGTGTAAACCGTCTTTGCAGGGACTTAAACACAGGTCTATTTCTCAGGGTTTCGGCCTTTCTTCTTGTAATCTCCTTGTTGAAACGAACAACTTTTGTCTTGGCACTGCTCTTCTGTCGTGCTTAGATTCTGTACAATGAAACCCAAACCCAGGACACTTTCAGGGTTTTGACCTTTCTAAACTCTCTTCCTGGATTCATGAAATAAACATGCAACATGTGTAGCAAATTTGTATCGGTTCTTAAGCTGTACATACCCACAGTCTAAATTTTGTCGTCAAGGTGTTGGGAACACTAAACTGCTTCTTTTATGGTTTATTATGGAACGTTTTACAAAGTATGTAACTTTTGTTTTCCATGCACTGTGAATTTTTGTTTCTTGATTTATATAATGCTGCTTTTTTTGTTCTGTGAAATGATTGCATCATTATGAACAGCGAATCGAGAATGGTCTGGAAATTAACTTGTCGTAACATTTACCACGAAGGACAAAGGAAGATCATAAAATCCTTTGGATAACTGGTCCTTGGTCTGAGGCTTGAACGTTGGACTTTCTGACATCGTGTGATGTTTTTGTGTGTGTATCATGAGTGTTTTTTAAGCGTTACAATGCTTTGTTGCAGGGTCCAGCTCTACAGTTATGGTATATGCGATTAGCAAAATTCAAAGCAAAGTCTTCGTATGTTCAGACTGCAAAGAAAGTAGCTGCTGATCAGCTGGTTGCAGCCCCAGTAATCCTCTGTACTGTCATGTCATCTGTTTCCTTGATGGAAGGACATAATGTTGAACAAACTAAGGAAAAGCTGAAGAATGACTACTTTGAGGTCCTTCTTACCAACTACAAGGTTCGTCAGTTTTCCGATTTACCACTTGCCACGGCGCGTACGTTCACAATGCAGACTCAGAATGCTGGGAAAGTGAATATGTGTATTAAGGTATACTTTCAGCATTGGCAACTTGCTTGCTCCAAGACTACACAGCATAATGACCCAAAGACACTTATTCACCACTGTTCAAATCACAGAAATGCATTTATGAGGAAAGACGTGTACATCATGCCCCTTTAAAAGTATTGTTCTTGGAGGAGTTAATGCACCAAGCTAAGTAATTCTGTCATGTCTGAAACTGTTATTTCATAATACTGTTAATTCCCTGCTGCAAATTTCTCTCATTTTCCACGCTCGCTAAATCTGTTTATTTTTAGTTTCTGTTCAACAGTTGCAGGGATTGAGGTACAGAGGTTGAGTTATTTTGTTCTTGGCCATGAACTGATGGATGGAAGTGATGTGAGCACGTACGTTGTCTCGATGAAGTAACAAATGTCCATTCCTCCATTTTTCAAGATGACTTTAGTTTTCCTGTAGGTGCCATGGAAAATATTTGTAATATGGCTGATTGACAGTTTGACGTCTTGGCACAAACTCATGATGCACAATCGTATCGCAGTCACAAATGATGAACTGTGCTTTTGTCATTTGGTCGGACTTGTCTGGCTTTCTTTGAGCGCAGTGACTCTTGACACCTGCTGTTTTGTTTTTGGTTAATACCAGTAAAGCCATTTTCAACATCTGAGTAACCTTTAAAAAGAAATGTGGGGCATCTTGAACTTGTTAAAGATAATATATGTGTGTGTTTGTGGATGTGCACGTGCAAACACATGCTCGCGTCCGCACACACACATGTACATATGAACTGCTTTTTTGTTGTGTTAAATTTCTTTGTCCATTAACAGACATCTTGTGCTCTTGTTGAATTGTAAATGGAGATAAAAAAGTGCTTCTTGTTTCATCTTGAAAATTTTGTATTTGTAATGGCTTTAGGTCTTTCAGACATTCAGTATCTCAGACTATAAAGTGTCAAATGAGAGGATGATAGTGAATAATGAATTGGTATAGTTTTCCCAATTCAGTTATCATTAAAATATGTTAGGTGGAAACATGTGGAAGACCCTTCCATTATTCATTACGTTCACCACAAATCAGTGACATCTTTCCTCAGGATTAACAACTATAACCATAACATCATTACGTATCAGTTTTCACAGCTCTGAAACTTCTGCATTTTATCTTCATCTGGGTGTTGGTTTGCAAGCAAGTACAAGATTCCCTCGGCGTTATGTACGGAATTGCAGACTATAGTCAAGTAAAAATAAAAACAGTTGAAGTCACAGTAACTGGTTTTTGCAAGGGTATCGTGATCTCACCGAAGTGTTTTGATATCGCTAGAAGGAATGAATTTGGCCACTGTATGTGATCTTTTTACCCTGATACAGGTTTGGCCGTTGGTACAGTTCTTGAATTTCTCTCTTGTCCCTGTGAACTTTCAAGTGCTTCTTGTCCAAGCAGTCGCGATATTCTGGAACTCTTACCTTTCATTTAAATCACACAAGGTAAGTTCTATAGTATTCTTTTCAGTACAAAGTTCTGTAATGACTTTAAGCTTGGCCAAGTGAAAATGGCTGCGAAAAAACATGTAGCATTTAGGTGGGGACATTGCCTCTGGAATGTCATGACTTTCTTGTTGTGGTATGTAGCCAAGGGGTAAGATTATGGACTTGTAATGCGAGGGTTGCCCACAGTGTAACACATTCTGGTGAGCAGTTTTTTATTAGTAATTATGTTCTGTACTTCCATTTTTATTTCTTGTTTTAACATCAATATGAAATATTAAAGTATTTCATCATAAAGTCTAAATTTTGTTTTTTTATGAATTAATATTATGTCATCATTATAGCATTTCTCCCAGTGAAATGCAGTTCCTCATTTTAAGATTATTCTACTTATTGAATGTAAAAGATGGCATGTAAAAATGTTGTAGAATTTTATTCAAATGACTCTTGACCATCGTCAAGAAGTTTTAGGTCTGATTTATTTCTCCTGATTCCCTGTTTACAAGTAATGGATGACCTTTGATATTTTTTCCTTCACTGAAGTAAGTTCAGCATTGTTAAGTCTTTTCTGTCCATGGCAGAAAAATACAAACCTATTCCTCAAGCTGTATGACCAACTGAAACTACTTAATACTGTCGCTTCCAACGAACTCTTTATCTCATTGTCTGTCAGAAAAACGTATTATGTGAGAACGTTCTACCCTACAGTGTGGAACTGGCCTGTGGGTGCACTTTTGAACTCTGTGTGGCATGTCAGTGAACACATTTAATCTGTGAAAGTCATAAAACATAAAATTTATATATAGCAACAGGAAAGAGTTGGTTAATTATTCCTATGATTAGAAGAAACAAAAACAATGTTGGGGAAGCTTATGATTTGGTTGAGGACGATTAATTTATAAATTCATGCTTAGTTTTATTCAAGGTTTTCATTTCAGTTTATCTCATTATCGTTATTTACAAGAATAACAATTTCTTACACGTCGAGCTTTGTACACTTCTTGATCAACTGAATACTAATGAAGTGACAAAGTTTTTATGATATGGTGGAATGAGATTAGCTTTTTTTTGTTTTAGCAACTTGCATGATTGAATATGTAATAGAATAATGGATGATTGGTCACCTGTGTTACAGAACTACGAAGAAAGACAAGATACATGAGCCCAGAAGCTCTGTGATTACGTAAGTAAGATATAGTGATAAGACGCCAGTAAAAGCTGCAGTCTTCGGTCTGTAAAATATGTAAGATATTCAGAATTGTTCTAAGATTAGTCGTGTGGTAATGCAGTTATCAAGTAATTCAGGATCTGTGTGGAATCTGAGGTTTTCATAGTGGTGAAGATGATGATGTTGATCTTCTGGGTTTGGGTGCCATGTAGACTTGTCAGTGTATGTCAGTTTTTCAGAGAAATATGCTGTCTTCATCTTCAGGGCTGAGGACTTCAGCACTGAAACATGGAAACAGCATGTTGCTATGAAACAGTGGCCTCTACCAGTGGTGCATGGTGCCAGATCGTCTTACAACAACAGAATCATAACCCGCTATCTGTGTCTTACCTTTACCTCAAATGCTGGATGTCATACAATGATTCATGGTATAATTATTTTTCAGGTGGAATATTAATGTTTGTTTTGTTTGTCTAGTCCGATTTGATGTTCTCGCAGTGGTGAATATGTCAGTTATAGTCTTTTGAGTTTTGACGCTGTATTTTCTTGTGAGTAGTTATGAAATTTAAAAGGAATGTGCCACCTCCATCTTCAGATTGAATCCTGTGAAATGTTGGAAAACCTACATACAGCATGAAGCCCCAAAGACCCCAGTTGACTTGTTTATGTGATATCTGTGACTGTCATTACAGTTTTACCCCATTTACACATTGTGAGTATTAAATAAATAACTTTTTACAATTTCAGTAGTCACTGCTGTGAGAGGCATATCTGCCATTTTCGATTTATTTAACTCTAATAGGAGAAGAAAAATGGAAATTTAAGTATATAATATTATGTTCAACCACTAACAGTTTATAATGCTGTTTACAAAGATTTATAAAGTTGATTTTAAGTATAGTATAATGAAATACACAGAAGTAAATCTGCCATAATGTTTATAGCTTGGTTTGCTGTCAGTATTTAAATTATAGTATTTAAATATTAAAATTATAAGTATTATGTTCAGCTTTAACAAAGTTGTTTGTGAAACCAGGGTAAGTGGTCTGGGAAATGACTAGTACACCATACAGGTAGGCCCTGATTTACACCAGGGTTACGTTCCACCTCCTCAGGGTCACTAGCTGAAGCGTCGTAAATCGAGGAAGAATTATAATGCATTGTACTGGCGGACGAGGAGAAAGCAACTGACGCCGACACTAGCACCGCCTTGGTACCCACTTCCTGTGCTGCGTTTATGCTTGAGTTTTTAAATTTTCTTCTTATATTTGTTTTCATTTATTTTTTCATTATTATTTTTAATGTGAAACAGTGTAAAATGAAGCGTTGTGAAGCAGGGCCTACCTGTATTTACTTGTGTAGGATCTGAACCATTGTGCTGCCATTGTGCCATAAAAATGCAATTTATCCAACAAAATTTCATGATTTACACAGTCAAAAGCTTTTGCTAAATCACAGAAAATTCCTCCAACATGCATTTTTTGGTTAACAGATTTTTAGCACATTGTCTGTTAGTTTGAAAGCTGCATCTTCAGTGGATACACCTTTCCTGAAGCCAAATTGTTCCGGGACTAATATGTTGTTAGCGTGTATATGATGACTCAATCTATTGTACATAATTTTCTCAAGCACTTTAGAAAAAGAAGTTAAAAGTGTAATTGGCCTGTAATTTGTCATACTGGTTTTGTCCCCTTTCTTGTACAGTGGTCGTACTACTGATATTTTAAGGCGGTCCGGGAAAATGCCTATGTATAATGAGTGATTACAAATGTGAGTTAATGGACGACTAATTAAAGCTGAACAAGCTTTCAAAATTTTACTTGTTATCATCATAACCTGATGAATTTTTTGATTTGAGGGAATTTATTACACTTTTCACCTCAGTTTCGGTGGTTGGAATGATATTAAGGCCAAAATTTTTTACAGGAAATGCAGCTTTTAAAATGGAAACAGCATATTCTGTCTCTGTTTGATTTAAATGTAAGCTTTCTGTAATTGTTAGAAAACACTTATTGAAGGCATTAGCCACTGTTCCAGGATCCTTTACTTTTTCATTGTTTATTAGAAGAGATGGCATCTGTTCTGAAAAATGTATTTTTCCTGTCTCCCTTTTTATTATGTTCCATGTTGTTTTTATTTTATTGTCTGAATTTGCTATAAGTCTACTGTAATGCTGCTTTTTAGCCTCTTTTATAACATTATTCAGAATTTTACAATACTGAACATAAAATGCTCTTGCATTTGGGTCTTTACTTTTCCTACTGTAGATAAACAGACTCCTTTTATTCTTGCCAGATACATTTATTCCTTGCATAATCCAGTCATTGTTTATTTTGCCTATAGTTTCATATGTAATAGGAAAACTAGCTTCAAAAATATTTATAAAAGTACACAAAAATGAGTCAAACTTTTTGTTGGTATCACTGACTTCATAAACAGATTCCCATGTTTCATTCTTCAGAAGAAGCTGAAACTGCATGATGGTTTCACAGGCACAGTTTCTGCCAGCTGAGGAACCCTTGTATCCCTCTCTAGTTTGCCGGTGGAATGTGTCCACGAGTACACATCCCTTGCTGTCATAACCTGATGACCTGTGTCATAAAATTAATTGCCAAGTAAGAGTATGTTACCAGATATAGTCACTTCTGCAAGCACTTGAGCCCTCTCTACAGAAGCTACCTCGCAAGACGGAATGTTAGGAAGTTGATGAAGTGCTCTGAATGGTGAGAGCAGTATTGGTCAAAGTCACTATGTAATGCAGTTTCATAGATGTAATTCAGTTGTGTGGTGCTGTTAAAATAAGCTATTTATTAACTATTAAATGTGTCAGTACAATCCCAAGGCCAAGAGCATACCAAAAACAGTCACCAAGATATATTCAGAAGCGTTGTGACATCAATTTTGTGCATAATGTTAAACATTCCCAGTATTCTATCGTATTTGGCTGATTTTGCACAAATAGATGGGTTACATTTTCCGAGATATGTGGTTATGAAATCGTTTGGCAAGTGTTTCACAATGCATTTCGTTATTGATAGATGTAGCAAGCAATAGTTTCGATGTATTTACGATTTCTTGTGAATTTCAAATACTCCCGCATCGTCCACAACACGTGGGTTTCCTTCCAGTTTGTGAGGTTGGCGTGCCTGTCTACAAACAAAATGGCTTATTTTCGTGTGTTGTCTGGTGGAAGCCATGTGATGAAATTAGCTGCGTTCGTACATCAGGATTTTGTTACTATGTGCAAGGTATGTTAATTTTGCGTGAACTCGTGTTAAGTGTAACATTGCTCGTTGACGGGATGTGCAGTTCGGTACTTTGATGCATTGAGGTTAGGCTTATTTGGCCTCCCGAGTACGTTCACTAGGTTAGGTTTGTGTCACAAAGACTGTGTGACCCCATGTAGCTACTCGTGAACAGGGAAAGTGTGCGGTTATGTGGGTGTGAATGCCTTGCGTCCATCGGAGAGCAGGTATGCACGAGAGAGTTAATCCCCGAATCTCCACTGGGTGGAATCTGCTTTGTGAACCGTATTTCTGTTTCAGTGCATTCCAGTGGGAGTACATTACGCATCAACCCAAGCCAAACTTGCATATCTTTTGATTACTGTTTCAGGAAATCAGTTTTGAGCCTGTTGGTTAAACAGTTCCTTGGAAGTTACAGATGTGTAGATCCAGGCATAATGAAGCACCTTGAGTTTTTGCATAGCATAAGGAAATGCAGTAGCTGGGTACAGAGTTGTTCACACAAACATTGTTGGTGCCCCAGCATATTCCTTCTGTATTCAGGTTTTAAGATGTGTGTATTGTGCAGTGTTGGTGGATGTGGTTCTGAACATTCTAGTATTGGCTCACTTTCTCAGTATTCAGATACTGAAATATTTTAATTAATGTCCTAGGATACCAGTCATGGCAACATCATGACCGTTCTGTTTGACAAGGCTGGGGTGAAGTGCCAGAATCATAATGGCCACTGTTAGATGGCCTGTTCCAGGTACGTAAAACCCAGTTATGCGCCTGACACAAGATAGGATGTTGGACCAATAATTCTTGAAGACATAGCATATTAATTGGCTCACAAAATGCACCCTATAGTTAGAGCGGTGGATATCAGTATGATGCTAGTTTCTTAAATGAAAACCAACTGCATTCCAAGCAGATGATACACATTAATGTCAGTTTTATTTTATTCCAGAACCTGAATTTTACATACAGCAGCGCCAAACAGCATTTTCTTTCAATGAAATTGCACTTTATTGTATCAGCAATTCTCTGAACTAAATGCCACTCAAAAGTGTAACATACCAAAGCCAATCATTTTGCTTATGCCAAAGGCAAAAGTTTAAATGTCCCTGTGACTATGTACTGCATCATAAAGGCACATTGTCACTAGATGGAAGGGAGTGATTAGCTTCAGGATCTGGGAAAGAACCTCACTAATCACAGTCATTGTGAATATAAGTGATGAGAAAAAAGATCCCAACCTCATAATGGGATTTCAATCCTGGCCACCAGCCCACAGTCGGTTGACTACTATTCTCACTCATTTGCACGGTCTCTATTCACTTTGCATATAAGCAGTAGTTTTGTAGCTAATTTGGCTGCAGAAACTGTAGTGGTGAAGAAGTATGAGCCACTTGTGGGAGAATGTTATGGACTGTCAGTGTCTTGAGAACTCAATTGTATTGTCCTTGCTGTGCCTTTCATGGTAAACGTTAAGCTATAAGTTCAAAATTGTTTAATATGGAGTCTGACTCCTCTTCTTCAGTAAAGTGGTCTGTGACATGCTGCTGAAATATTATGAAGGAAGATCCCTTGCTGTACAGTCTGCCACACAATGGACAGATGGACTCCTTGTACAGTGTGGATGTGTCTGTGCTGTAAATGGATGTTGGTGGCTCAGCCACTTGGTTCAGCTGCCTTTGGATACCTTCACTGTAGGATGTGCCATCAGGAACCCCCCATTTCTGTAGCCTCTCAATGTCTGTGTCGATGATGACCGAAGTCAGTTTAGCCTGTGACTTCTTCTGACAGTGGCTACACAGTGCACCACCTGAAAGAGCGAACAACGGGGCAGAAATTCAGACTGGCGAAACCATAATAGTGAGGATTAGGGAGCTGTTTTCCAAAATGAATAATATGCATGCATGACTAGCAAGTTTTCAGCATAGATGCTAGATGGAAAAAATGTTCCATTTTACAAGTGCAACTACTATTATGCAGCTTTCTGAAATATTTCTAAAGAAGATAGGGTATGAAGGGTATAAAGGAGATGAAGAAGGGCTAACAGAAGAAGGTATAAATATATCAGCCTTCAAGGCCTCACAGTGACTGAACTCGGCAAAATCCTCTCAAGCAACAAGCTGTTTCAGTTGTGCACAAAAGCTTTTGTCAAGATGTAAATAATCATTCACCACTGAATTTCAACAGCGCTTTTCCACCAGTACCTAATAAATTCCACAACTGTTACAAATATAACGAACTATAAATTACTCAAATATTCAAGCTTGTAAAGATATATTTCTACATTCCCAAGAATATGCTGAAAAATTACATGAAAGTAAACACTCATGTAAAAGTTATGGTAGCTTAATCATGCCTTATGAATTGTTTCCAAGTGGGATGCAAAAAAATATAAATTATTGTAGTTCAGTTTTGTGATCGCAAATAGCTTCACTGTTATCCAAAGTTTCCTCAGGCCCTGCTTAGGTGTTTTGTGCTGTGTGGCAGACCCGAATTTTTCACTTTTCCACACTGTACAGCTTGTATGAAGCCACGGTGGTCTAGCAGTTAGAACGCTGGCCTTGTAATCCTGGGGTCTCGGGTTCGATTCCCGGGGGTGCCCGAATTTATAACTTGTGTTGGGCAAGGCCGTGGTCTAGGCAACATGGAGTTTTCCTCCGTGGCATCCCAACAATTACTCCATTCACACACAGAAGAAGGCAATGGCAAACCACTTCTGGATCATCTGCCAAGAACGTATATGAACAGGTCCCAGTCCGAGAAAAGGATGGAAGGATCCTGTTCATATGGACCTGTCATCAGACAGAACACTAAATAATATAATAACAGTTTGTATGTGAAAAGAACTGTATGAATCTGACTGTAATTTCAGCATCTAAATGTACTCATCACCAGAAATTATTTCCACTTCACTATTGTAACTGCCACATTTGTGTAAAATAAAAATTATGTGTCACATCTTTGATCACAATAACTTGCAAAAGCACAATATATGAAAAGAGAAAAAGTTTCCATTTGACATGAAACAGCTCAAATTACTATTACAAATTAAAAAAATTTGGTAAGTCATAACCACATGATTCTAACTGTTATGATTTATATTAGGGGCAAAATTTTAAATCCGAGTTCATATGGGATGCGGTCAAAGATGTACATGTAACGACAAATTTTATATACAAGACACAATAGCAGTGCACAAATTTTGGTTGGAAAAGCCTGACCACTCAGAAGACCTAGTCACAGAAGGGATGAAAATCAGGTTTGAAAGTGTGGATTTCGATTCACCTGGCTCAGAACAGGGACCAGTCATGCATGGGCTCTGGTGAACACGGTAAAGAACCTTCAGGTTCCATAAAATGCAGGAAACGTCTTTACTAGCTGGACATAATTGCAGTGATGGTCTTTTTATAAATACCAAATGAATATGAAAATAAAATAATTGTAATAATACAAGAAAGCTTTTACATTCTACAGCATAGTTTTTGGTGCATAAAATGAATGCCAATTATGCATGCTTGTGCACAATTCAAGAATATGTGAATAGTTGTAAAAAATTAAGTTTTACAGACACCTTTCTCGTAAACTTCTCTTTTCAGATTTCTGTTGTACTAGAAGAGAAACTTAAGAACAAATATCTGCCAAAGCTATGGAAGACACTGTACCTTTTTTAACTCTCTCTACATTTGCAATTGCAGCTTTTATCACAGTCTGTTGCTCTTTCAGCATGTCCCGTACCTCCATCAATTTCTTGTGGTGTTCTTTCATGTCATCAATCGTTTTGTTACCGCTCTCCGGGTACCCAAACCCTAGGTTCTGAATGCTGTATGAAGAGGGATCACTCTGGATTTCCACCATCTGTAGCAAAAATAAACTGTTACACATTTGCAACAGAATTATTTGGATTTTCATATCTGCAATAAACTTCCACAAATGTGATTCCAATGTCACTGCTACTAGTAGTTTCTTCAACTTCCACATTTAGAACTCCCAATTAACATAATTTAACCACTTAGTTCTCAATGATAAACCCTTTACCACATACTTTAATATAACCAGTTCTCTGCAGAGACCACATACAATCCATTTCAAACATTCACTTGCAATTAGCTGGCCAGCAACTGTTCATTCACTTTGATAAAGTGCCTCATTAAATTAGTTCTTTTAAGACTGCCCTACTAAATGCTGTGGTGCAGTGGTCAGATAAGAACGCTAATGTAGTTTTCACAACAAAGTATCACCTGTGCATACTGTTCTTCAAGCTCTGTTTTCTCTTGCAAAAAGCTCTTAATGAGTTTCAGTGAAATCTCCTCCAGGCTCTCCTCGGCAACATCTAAAACACAAATGAGATGTGACACACCACTGTTAATACTATCTATCACTATTTCCACATTTCAGTACAGGAATGTTTAATGTTAATGCCTTTAAAATAAGTAGAATTTATGCATATATTATGAAGTTTTTAGAAAACAGCATGTTATATGACAAAATCATGTCATAAGTATTTATACAGTAGGACTTGAGGTTCTCATGACAGTAAGTATGAAGATGGCTATTTTCTGGGTTGAAGCACCATGTATAATAGTCTTCTTCTTCTTCCTAATCAACGTTTAGGCCTCCGTACACCTGTTCCGAGGCTAAAATTGGTCACTCTGCGCAGTTGACCTACGCCCCTCCGTCCAGTCTGTCTATAAAATAATGCTTGCCGTGGATATCTTGGAGGTGACAAACTATAGATCAATTTCATTATTAATACTTTTTCTAAAGTATTTGAGAAGGTTATTGCAAAAAAACATATTTTTTATCTTTGCACACATTAGGAACCATGAATACATGAAATCTGTTGTTGATAAGGGTCTGCTAAACTTTTGCACTAATTACATTTTGGAACACAAATGAGAAAAAATATGTAACTGTATAATTGAAGAGCAGAACACAGACTCCATTCTCCAGTGAACCTTGATCTAAGGTATGTTTTAATAACAGTGCTCTTTTCCAAATAGATTTTCTTTTGTGTTTATAAGGAATTTGCAAACCAGCAGACATGCACACATCACACTGTATGACAATGAGGTAACAAATTAGTGCAATTCAAAATTAAAATTTAAATCTATATTTACCTCCTGATGACTTTGCAGGTGAGCTGTTGTGTTTCTTAACACCCTCACAAACTGTGTCTGTGGCTTTTGTTGCTACATTACTGTTTTCCTTGGTCAGTACAGTGTCCGATGACACGTTCAGTTCACTGCTATGCAACAAACTACTTGTAGGTGATAGTGACTTTGGCACTGTAATGCTACTGGCTGAATGATGTCGACTCAAAGTGCTGGATATTTTAGACAAGTGGCTACCAAGGTTCTCATTTGCTTGGGTGAGATGAGAAAGTCTGTTCCACAGTTGCCTATTTTCAGTAGCTACCATGAACAAGTGATGGGTGAGCTGGGATTTCTGGCGGGTCAATGTTGCCACTTTCTCTTCCAGACAGTCAATTCTGTGTTCCAAGTCTCCAGGCCCATTATTTAACTCATCTGCTCCAATGGCACATGATGAATCTGACTTTCGCTTCCTGTTTTCAATACGTAAGCTATGATTTTCTTCCTCAACAACCCCTAGCCTTTGCTGTAAACGTTGACACCTTTCCTTCATAGTCTGAAGTGCAACTTTGAGTGCATAATGTGAACCAACAGATTCTTCCACATTTCTCAATCTGCATGCAGACTGCTCCAAATCGTTTTCAATCTTCCTTTCAATACTCATACTTTCATCAATACACTGACTATTTCCCAGCTATAATTACGCTTTATGAGGCTCTTCAAAGAGGTTACTGAAACTACTTTCTTAAGATACAACAAAATTCACAGCGTGAAATGAAGAAGCGTATTTTAAAAGGTTGCGAATTCCCATAGAAAAACTTCGGTTCTCAAATCCAGCTTCTTAAAACTTTTTATCTTCCAGTCATAAATTTACCAATTCTGCTACCTCACAACATAAGCTATTATCGGTTCACGGTACTCTCCTATGTGTTATGATATATTGGCTATACTGGTCTAATCACTGAACACTGCATTGTTCTGGACCACCCTTCGTTAATATTAATAACATGGATTACAGCTCACTGAGGGCGGATTCCTCTTGATTATATCGCATCATTAGTTACCAAAAGTAACAATACTTTGTATTATCTTCAGCATGTTTTATGTCCTACAGCCACATGTGTCCCATGTGAAAGACTTCACCAAATCTGGGCTGTTAGTATCAAAGCGTGAAGTCGGCCCAAAGAAAGGGGGGAGGGTTACTGCCAGTAAGACTTTTTAACGTGTGCTGCATTTATTTGCATTTTGCAAACAAATTTTAAGATTATCGAATGAAATTATTCAATTACATTTATTTGTCGCAGATTGTGTGCTGTGAAAAATGTGAACAATAATGTTTTTTTAATTCGAAATTATGCTTATGATGGCTGTCTTCTGAATTGTAACACCGCACAGTTTGCCAACGTTTCATAGGTCCTTGCTGCCTTTATCATCACGCTGATTATGAAGGCAACAAGGACATCTGAAACGTTGGTTAACTAATTACACGGTGCTAAAACCCAGAAGAAAGCCACCTTTATATTCACCGCCTTGAGAACCTCAGATCCAAATTTTCTTCATGTTTCTCAGCAAGAAAAGGTTCATTTCGCTACAAATGCTAATAAGCGCTTTATAAGAATATGAGTGTCAGCAGTAAGCATGCAGATTGTTCCCATCGCAGAAGATGAGTGTGTTCCAGGATGTTGCGCCGTGTTCATGTGTCGCATTATGGGTGCTCTGGGTTAACTCCTTCGGCTTATGTTGGTAGCATTTGCTTGACACGTACCTACTTCCGTCAACATTATAAACAGATAGAGCCACCGTTGCCGCCTGCACAATTAGTCATTCACGGAACAGGTGGCAGCACAGAATAAGCATGACCATTCTTTGTGCAGACGCTATCTGTTTACCCAGTTGTGTTTCGATCCTGCGTGGAGTTTGGTGTATCGCTAGTTCATGTTATTAATTTTACGCGCAAAGGAAGTAGTTTGTTGTGTATGCCGTGGGCTGTTTGGTGCAATATAGTGTGTTAAATAGTGGACAACTTTTGCGGGAAAACAGCAATGTAAGTAAACACGTTAACTACAATAGAACAACGTAACAGGTTTCCATGGTGACCTCCGAAGTCCGTATTTGTGATAGTCATTGCTTGCGTAAAATTCTTTGTAGGATTTGATGTTTTCACGGCGATGAGTTCCAAGATGGCTGTCTTGTGGGTTTTTACTCCGTGTAGTCTGGTAGAAGTTCACCGACGATGATCATCGCCCTGATGATGGAGGCAGCAAGAAAATATGAATGTTACTGGCTGTCTGCCCTCTGGGTTGTGGCGCCGTGTAGTCTGGTAGAAGTTTACCGACGTTTCAGAGGTGTTTGCTGCCTCCATCATCAGGGCGATGACCTCTGAAACGTTGGTAAACGGCGCTACAGCCCAGAAGACAGCAATCCTCATACTTATCGCCGTGAAAACTTCATATCCATTATCAAACTGTTGCTGCTCACTGCCGAATACTGTTGATATTGAGGACAAGTAAAGGAAACTCCTACTCGTTCTTAACCTCAGAACTAGGTGGGTGTGAGTGGTCATTGTCACGTCCCGGCCGTGCTTAACCCCGGTACCCGTTGGTCTGGACGCAGAGGATTTCTGTCTTGCATCACGGCATGTTTCGAAGGTGCTCGCTGTTCATTTTTCACTCGCGGGAACACTGCCGAATGTGTTTGAATAAAGTTAAAATTGTATCTACATGTCTTGAAAATTAGTTATGAGGAAGTATGTGTGCGTTGTGCAAAGAGGCAATAATAACACACAATTTTATCTTATTAACGAATCTTGTTTCCTCATAGCAAGTAACCATTTTTCATCCTAGAGAATGATACAGTTTAACGGAAAAATATTTGCGGACCGCGTGCCGAGAACACCTGCTTTAAGACAGGTTTTTAAATGGTGTTCATGATCGCCACCAGGGATTGCGTAACAAATGACCTCACTCTGGCAGTAATAAACAGATCGCCACGTCGAATGCATTGTTTAGTTTGTCCCACCCGTCTCCTGCTCTCACTGTCAATTTCACGAAGAAGATCCTTGGCAATATTACGCAGTCTTCTCCGAGATCATCAAACGTTAATAATGTCTTGTCTCCCACATTCCATCCCATCCCATCCCATCTTTCTGCCCTGATTTCCGTATGTGATGGTGTGACTCTCGATGTTTCTCATTCGTTTTGCAGAGTTTTCCCTCCAGAACTTGAATCCAAGAATCTCTTAAACTAATGTCCGTCGTATGACAATGCTTTCGAAAGGAAAACAAACAGAGTAATTTTCCCGATTTGGATTAATTTTCTGTAATCATGAAATTCAAGGCATAATTCGATTTGCGAGCAGATACGTAACGGACAGAAGGCTAGTCGAAGGTCACGTACAGAAGATGTAGGTGGCATTCAGACCACTTTAAACCCATCTCGTGTGGAGGGGGCGATGTGTCTCTTTATGTTCCCGCAACGTTTGGGAGTTGCAGTGATTGTCTGAAGGTTTGTGACTGCCTGATTCGGCACTAGAGGAAAAATCCTCTGCCCCTGTCTGCTAATTTTTTTTAAGAAACTAATTTGATTCATTTTTCTTCTTAAATGTTGGCTTAAAATTAAATTAACGTCTTAGGCGGTTTCTTCATCACGCGGAGTACAGGTTAAATGTTCGTTTGCCGGAAGCCGGAAGTGACAGTCGCGTTCAAAAGTTATCAGTGAACGGACTGTATTTAACGGGCCGCTCGCTTCGTCTGTTTATAAATGTGTGAAGTATGAAAAGCGCCCATTTTGTTAACAATAAACAATGATAGCGCATGCGCATAATTACTGCTTGTTTTTACAAACGATGGTTAGGCTGACTGTGCGCTGCGTGTAACATCGACGCCCCTGCCATGTCCGGACTGCAATCTACTGCGCATGTGCGATTGTGTTTAATGAATTGAAGAAATCTGGGGGAGGAAATGCCTTTTGCAGATCCGAACTGCGATGTCGGAGGAGGGACAGGAAAAACTTCTCTTTGTCGGCGTCTTTCGTCTACGAGCTGAGGACAGAGACTGTAATCTTTTGTTGCGTTGAGCTGACTTGCTGTTTCCCAAGCCTCCCTGTTCGCTGGAGCGCGAGCCACGTGTTGCCAACCTCGAGATTGCTTATTTAGTAGCGATCTGTTGATGAGCCATAATGGAGCCTCATCCTCCAATCATGACGAAGGCCTCGGTCCGAGAGGGCCGTCGCCCTCCTGCGCTCAGGATAGTTCGGACGGTCGTCACAAGGCTCGAATTGGACTAGAGTTCTCAGTCTGCAGTCGCATCGAAACGTCGCTCTGTTATTTAACAACTGCCAGATACTGGTTAATAAAACTGGAATTAGAAGGTATTTGGAAGGAAGCGGTTGTGGCCTAACTTAGGCCCTATCCAGGAATTTTTCTGGAAGCACTGGGGAAAACCACTTACGTGTTCAGTTAGGATCGTCAGTGTCCGGGACCTGCCTAGTACAAAGAATAGAATTCATGTTTGACATAAGCTGTATGTACTTTCATTGACTTGCACAGTTTTTGAAAACGTAATAAATTCGTGACCGATCGGCCTGCCTCCAAGAGCCCAGTTTCCTCGAGGCATCGCTGTGGAACCTTTTACTTAAATCAACTGAATACGTCAATTAACTTCCCTTGTTCCTTCCATTTCGTAGAAACTCTTTACAACAAATCGTAAATTTATGTCTGGAAATACTTTCTTCTGTCCTCGTTACAAGTACGAGTAAGCGATAATTTTCGATATTGCGTCGCGTCAAAACCTTTTTAAGGAATACTGATGTAAAGGGTCGATTAAATTGGTCGAGACACGTGTTCTGACGCAGTTCCAGTGAGACTACTGGAAATAAATTGCGTGAATGGTTTCTGCAGAATGAAGACGGACGAGAGACTCCCACTAATTGGATAATTGTGCCTGTTCTTCTCTGGATAGAGGGCGGGCTTCGACCAGGTAACGCACTCCGCAGTTCGCCGATAATCCACCGAACGGCCGAGGGCGAGATGGGAGCACAAGACGGAACGTACAGAGTGGCCATTTTAAAATGCAGCCCACACGAATGAAAAATTTAATAAGTTGTAACGTAATGGCGTGTCCCCTTGCTTCTGTTACCGCTCACCACTTCTTATGGCGCCAGTGGACGCAGCTGCCCGTTTCTCCTCCTCGCTGGAATTTTCATGTTCCGTGGAAGTCGCCATCTGTTTCCACAGCTGCACTGCAGCTTTGATGTATACACAAACACGCTGACTCACGTCGCAGCGCTTGGCGTCAACTCCAGGGCATTTGCCGACGAAATATCAGCTGCTAAGGTTTTCCACGCGGCATCATCACCTGTTTCGTCTCTTTGTGAGAGCCTAACCTCATCTTCCTCGGCCAAAGTCAATGTCGGAGGTCGTTACGGAGTCCGTGAACGTTTGCCAGGTCCAATGTCAAATGATCCATCATTAGGGTTGGTAACAATATTTTGTTTTTCCCGGGGTGGGATTGTTATCCCCACGCCCAACCCCCAACCTGGAGGACCGTCTCCTCAGACCTGTTCGGCGTGGGTGACCCTACCAGGAGCTGAAACTCCCGTCGTCGGCATTTGCGCAAAATGTGTTTGACTTCGACAAGGTGGTGGGTGGTGCCTTCGAGCTCATCCCTAAGACAACGAGTTTGAAGCTGCAATGACTTTCTCCGGCAGTCAGGGAAGACGACGACAGAGGGAGTCTCCGAAACATTAACGCCCCCTATAGCCCAGGAAAATTTCCCAGAGTCTCGTTGTCATCACAGTCACAAATATTCGATGTCCGATCTTTTGGTGCGCGGAACATCGTGTGGACTTGTACGTAGATATCAGCGTTTCAGATACCTGAAGATGGAGGCAGTATGTTCCTCCGAAACGTTGGTGCCCATCTACAAGTCCACAGGACGTTACAACGCAGAAGACCGTCATCGAGATGTGAGAATAAGATATTTCAGAAATGTCACCGCGGGTTCAATCCTCGTGGTCCACAGTGAAATCTCTCATGCAGTGCGCAGACTCACCTGCTGGTTTGGGAGCAGCTGAGGAGAAGCAGGTAGGGCGTGTCTGAAATATCTTCATAGCCCAGCGGTAACTATATGTACCAGCCGCATTGACAGTCACGAAGTTCATGTTTCGTATCCACGGGTTGCGCGATTATTTCCTTAAACAGCTTTAACCACTTGAAGTGTCGTTTTCTTTGAGGTACGGACTAGAATTCTTAACTATTATTTAGACTAGCTTCTACTTCAAAGGGTTCATTTCTCTTTGCTGGTAATTAAATTTAAAATAAATCGAGCCACCGTCCGTAGAACGTCTTCTTTATCGTGGTGAATTGTCGCAAACAAGTGTTTTACGCGTTATGTTTAATGTGAGCAAATAATTACGCGGTGTTACGGAAAAAGATGATGACGGAATTAGGCACAGCTTTTTTTAGCAGGAAAAAAAATCCTTTATCTTTTAGCGAGAGTCACGTGTTATTACAGTTTGTGAGCAAACTGTAGTTTAATAATATCTCTACATAACAACAACAGATTTTGTTGATTGCGAGGCTAATTAAAACCATGGTAACGAGCGGCAGTTCTACCCCACTGTCTCCTTGAGAGCCATCAGAGTGTTCTAGTCCCTCGGTACGTCCGAACATCTGCTGTGGGGTGCTACAAACCCGGATGAGTAAGTCCGTTCTGTAATGTTTGATCTTTGTTCGAGGACTCCGTTGTCGTTACCCATCGCACGAACTGATCTTTGAGACTTTTCGTCTTCATGATTCATGAACTATTTTTCTTTGTGTACTGAAGTCGCAGCTTTGCACTTGGTGACGCATTGAAAATGCGTTTGCAGCAAAAACTTGGGCTCCAGATGTCAGGTCCACTACGCGGATAACTGAAAACAAGGACCGACGTTCCCTTCCCTCGGACTGATCCAATTTTGGCATCTTTTTTCGCCGAAGCCGTACGAACATCACCAGGAGTCTGTTTAGATGACGATGTATCTGTCACTGAGGTCGAGGGCTCCCCCA